TCTTCCAAAATCAGCCGACTGATATTTAGTTCCCTTGCTCTTTGAACCCCTTCCAAAGCTGCAAGGATCTCAGCCCTAATAGAGTCTCCTTCTCCAATAGGGCCAGAGAACAGAGCAATAACAATCCCTTCCTCATTCTTGAAAACTCCCCCAATCCCAAAGGGCCCTAGATTCCTTATGCTACTGCCATCAAAATTCACTTTTATAAATCCAGAGGGAGGAGGGGACCACAAGGGACTAAGAGTCCTCTTACACAGAGTAGAGGTTGCTATCTCTTTCCAGTTTCTTAACAGGTCAGCAATAGGAGTCTGAGAACAACAGTTCCATAGTTTTTAGCCAGTGGGCAGCCCTTAAAAGTATTAGGTCTAATAGTTCTTCCAGGGATCTTTCCTTTTCTGAAAATATTCAAGAGTTTCTTTCCTCCCATAGTGACCAACACACGGCTGCTCTAATACTTAGGCCATTTGAAAAACAAAGGGGAGAACAAACCTTGGACGCTCTCAGGAGGGTTCCAAGTACACCCAAAGCGAGAAAGTGCCCACTCCCTAACAGTTTTAGTAACCTTACAGGAGACCAAAAGGTGGTAACCGGATTCTCCATCATCTTTACAGAGAGAGCATCTATTAGGAAGTAAACAAGAATTGGGTCTCTTTTTCTGAAGTAGATCATTTGTATTTATTCTTTCCAGGAAAATTTCCCAACAAAAAAACCCAACCCGAGGAGGAATGGGCTTGCTCCAAAATTCCTTAATCTGAAAGGACACACCAGAAGGGACAGATGACTGAGTTAAGGTTTCAAAAAACGAAGGACTGTGTTTGACGGCGCTTTGGGTCTCAAGTGGCTGGAAGGTTAAATTTGTGTTTTGGGGGATTTTGGGTCAAGTCCTAAGGCTAGTGTAGGGATCTTTGGGAGTTCTGTAGAGACTTTGGTTGGAGAGAGGATAGGCTTAGATCATGTGCTTGGGATAGGTAGGGTGGCTAAAATTGGGTGCTGACATTTGTGGCAGCATCAAGGTGGGTTGGTATCCCATTTGATTGTTTGGCGAAGAGACTACACTGAATTTTGACCTAGCTCATTTGTTGAGCCCAAATGGAGTTGTGGATCCATTGCTTGGGTCTTCTTTGGGATGGTGGGAGAAGTGGGCTTTCAAGAAGCATGAAATTATGGCTTTATTTTAGGGCCATCATAGACCTAAAGAAAAAAAGTGTTTGGACAACTCCCAGTCATGGTGGGCAGTTGAAGCATTGCCATTAAGTGGGCCAAACAGAGAAAGTTGTCCAGTCAAGGTGTGTAGGCATGCCATTTGATTGTTCAGCCGAGAGACTATACTGAGTTTTGACCTATAGCTCATTGATTGAGCTCAAATGGATCTATGGATCCATTGCTTGTGTCTTCTTTGGGGTGGTGGGAGAAATGGGCTTTCAAGAAACCTGAAATTATGGCTTTATTTTTGGACAATCATAGAGCTAAAGAGAAAATATATGTATAACTCCTAGCCATAGTAGGCAGTTGAAACACTGCCATGGGCTAAACAGAAAGTTGTTGGGTCTTGGAGGATGACTAACCATATCAGGAAATAAGGTTTTTTAACGGACCATTAGGAAAGAAAGAATATTACATGTTGTTGCAATTGTTTCCAAGGGTCTGTAAAAAATTAGCTGATTCCATGGCTAAAGATGGGGTGAGTAGAGCACAGGTAGGACATGTTAATCTTTTTTTTTTTTGGGGGGGGGGGGGTCTGTTTTGACCCCTATTTTTTGTATGTACCTTAGAAGTCTCTACTTTCAATCAATCCATAAGTTACTTGTCAAAACTACAATAAAGCAGAAAGCCAATTGAATTGATAAATTTGAGCATTTCTGAATAATCTGTTTGGACTTGGCACTAACATGATGATGAGAAATAGAAAAATCAGTGGCAGAGTGGCATCTTAGTTTTTTGTATGTGATCATACTTCCTCACAACATTTCATCAAAGGTCTTAATTGTTTAACAATTTCATTGTTCTTATTCTACTCCATTTCATTGGAAAATTCACTATTTGTTGTCTGTAATTCTTTATTGCCACAACAGAAACTTGGCAAAGAACTTTTGGTTGCTAGTGACGAAGAGCTTGAGGAGAGAGGCTCAATTGAAAGCAAGTGGTCTGTCAGGCAGTCAAACAGGCTATAAACAATTACAGTTGGGGATCCCTACTTCAAACTGAAACTGATGACCCAGCACAGACCCATCATTGCTTCCTTAATATCTGAAATGATATTTATTATATGGTCAGGCATCCGGAGGTGCAAATGTGATTAATAGAGGAAGTATTAAATAGATGGCTGTGGTCTAGGGATAAAAACCAGGCCTGATTTGTAATCTCCTAACTAGTCAATTTATCAGTGGTTTCAGAGTTTAGTAATTTGTAAATGAAGAGATTTTGTACAACATATACAAGATTACAAGTTACATTATTTATTTAGACTTACCAAAGGCAAAAAATATTTATTCAAAATTAATCTTTTATCCCCTTCACCCAAATAATTACCTCTCCAAAGGCGTCGAATTCCGCCCCTGTTTAACTATTTCAATTCCTATAAAGGGAAAATGTTGTGTAAGTGGACCAAACGTGTAATATTTTTTTCATGTGATCTTATACATTTCAACTGTCCAATTCAATATAACCTCAGATTTGTAATGTATTCTATATTCACCAAATATGAATTTCCATTTGATTTAAATGGTAATGAAACCCTCAACACCACGGGTTTTCTGCCCATTCAGACATAAACCAGATCATCCTAATTGAAAATCCCGTCCATGCCAGCCAATGGGTAATCCATCTTCTCGCCTATGCTTTGTTAAAGTCATTATTGTTAACCCTTTGCTTAGGAATTAGTCCACATCCCATTAGACGCTCCACAAAGATATCGGAAGGCATACATTGTATCTTGTTGTGGAAAAAGCCCAAGAAAACAAATTTGAATACATCCAAATAGAATTAAAACAGAGATAAAAAGAAGTACAAATAACACACAGATTTACGTGTTTTTGCTTATAGCCTACGTCTATGCACGAAGGAGTAGAAATCCATTATGTAGTCAGCAATGAAAAAGAAATACAGAATTGTGCACTCACAACCTCTCTCATAGGAAAAACCCTAAACTCCAAACTACAATCAGTATCTCTCTCTTCTCTCACAAGAGAAAGACTATGTATACAAGAGAGAAAAACCCCAAAAATAATTCTTCATATCCGGTTCTGACCCATAAGCTGCCTTACACTTCCATCACAAATCACTATGAAATTTTGCCTTCAATTTTTCTCAAATTATTTTGGAGCGGATTCATAAAGCGGGTCGCCACAAAGAATTCAAGGCACAAATACAACCTATCTGCATTGGTTGACCAACTTCAGTGATTCAACCATTTCATGAATAGATCATTTTTTTTAATGAAGGAAAAATCATCATTCAAAAAGAAAAACAAAACCTTCTAGCTGCTTATAAAACCGGTTAAAAAATAGGGGTTTTTATCGCTCAATCCACCCTTACAAATCTTAGCTCCATCATAGAGGTGGGGTGAATCCTAACCGTGGATCGATGCCAAATCCATAGGCAATATGCGGTTTTATAGGGGGCTACTAATAGACTAGGAGGGACCTGCAATTTCAAATTTCTGAGGTGGAGTGCAGTCTACTTATCCCTAAAAAATATTACTCATCCCACCAACTAACAAGAAATTGATTTGGTCTTGCTCCTTCCAATTATAATCTCTTCATCATCTCATATACATCCATCGAATGTAACATGAGTGGGAGAGTTAGAATTGTCATTTTCATCCAAATGTAATAATATAGTATTCAAATATTATCTAATATGTGATTATATTAAGCGAGAGCTATAATTGTTATTTTCATTGAATAAGCATTTATGGATGAACAATTAACCAAATGATCAATACAAATAGGTATTTATTTTGAAAATAGTTGGAAAAAGCACCTCCCCTAACAGTAATAAGTGCTTATTGGATAACACTTATTCCTAAACATCGTCATGGTCCATAATTGAGAGGAGCCCTCCCATCTAGGATAGATGGAGCACAAGTTGTTTTCATCCTCCCATCAACATTCATGGAGGTTTCCTGTCTAGGTTCCTAGATGGAACACAAGTTGTTTTCATCTTCCCATCAATATTCATGGAGGTTTTGATTGGTCTTTTTTTTTGGTATCATATATTTTTCTATAATTTATTATTTATATTAAAGGAGGTAGGCTGAAGCCTCTCCGTTCAAATACGTGGTGCTCTCATTTCTTAGGAAATAATATTTTAGAAGTGATTAGTTATATTTTCAAATAAAATTCACAATTCAAATCACTCTTTCAAAATGTTTAAATTAATAGATGATTCAAAATTTTTAATATAGAATGTTTAAAAATTGAAATAATTAAGATCATGGACCCGTACTTAGTATAGGGTCATGCCTAGTTTATTTACGAATTATGAACGTGATTAGTTTTGCACATGCGGGTGGCTCGTACATGAGAGGGACAAATGGCAGCCTATTAACATGTGCTTAGCGGTGTGGTTGGTGAAATGTACAACAAACAAATGGGCACAATCAGGGCTGTTCATGGTTTGGTTAATAGAACAATGGGATTATTTTTTATAAATCGAATTGATATTACCACTTTTTGGAAAATCGGTAACATAAATCAAACTAAGTCGATCAGTTAATTTTGATCGATTTAGTTAACTGTTGGTTCGGTTCATCAGTTTTTTATATTTACAATATATATTTATAAATAATATATAAATATATAATATTATATTTTAAATAATAAATAATATATTATTGATGGTGCACGATCTAGATGCTCTTAGCTGGAGGGCAGGAACGTCGGTCTGCTTTGCTCCGGTCGAACTACAAAAGAGGAAAGCTCAGAGGACTCGAGGTGGCTTACCTACTAATGATGCGCATGTTGACAGCTTGGAAGCCTGGAAGGTGGCTCGGATGCCTAGATGAAGAGTTCCTACTTGGAAGGTGGTTTGGACACCTGGTTGAAGAGTTCCTACCTGGAAGGTGGCTCGGATGCCTAGTTGAAGTGTTCCTACCTAGAAGGTGGCTCGGATGCCTGGTTAAGAAATAGTGTTAGAGTGTACGGGTTTCTTTACCCGGGGTGGGCACTCTGATGCTTAAGTTAGCGAATTGGAGATAAGAGAACTACGGGAGCTACGGGAGCGAAATTGCACATGTCCCTTGTGAGGTTGGAGGTAGGGCCCTTATATAGGCATTGTTTGGCGTGGGCTTTACACACCGTGCCCGAAATCTCTGGGAAGATGCACCTAACTGGTTCGAAGTCCTTGGAGGTAGTCGTGCACGTAGACCAGTCTTTGCGCCTTATTCGGTATCCTCCGGAACATTCGATGTGGGAGCCAACTTCCGAGAGACCTGGGAGTTACAGGATGCATGCATAATTTATCAGTGAGCACGTCTCGTAGGTCGCCACCTGGACCTCGATCAGTTCGGCAAGCCTTTGAGGGAGATTGCTTCTCATGTCGAGGTCACTTCGACCGGTACTAACAGGGTACTATAGGTCGGCCCTGGATGAGGTGCTGCTAGCTGCCATAAGTTGTGGACGAGGTCACTAGCTAGGTTTCCACCAGGTCAGTGGAGGCAGATCACTAGGCCGGTGAAGGCAAGTCGCCAGGTCGGCAGAGACAAGTTGCCAGGTTGGCGGCGGAGGCAAGTTATCAGGTCGGCGACAGAGGCAGGTTGCCAGCTGGGACTCCATTATTTTGGCTAAGGCAAGTAATCACCTAGGTGGTGCCAGGGTGTCATCCAACTGTTCCATCTGTCATGATGTTAGTGGAGGGCCAAATCTGCCCTCATCAATTATATATTATATATAATGCATATTAATTAATTTATAATATATATATAATATACATAAATATATATATAATATAGGGGAAATTTTTGATCGGTACCATGTACTTTGGCTCGAGTGACAATTTGGTCATCGAACTTTAAAATGCAACAGTTAAGTAGCCAAAATTTCAAAATGTGACAATCTAGTACCCGAACTTTCAAAATGTGACAATCCAATACCTACCGTTAACTAGTCCGTTAATCAACCATTAAATGACATTTGAAAAGTTAGAATAGCCCTTTGAATGCCATCTAATTCTCTTTATCAGCCATCCAAACGTTGACAAAAAAATGTACAGTCCCAAATCCTAGTATCTTCTATTCAAAAAAGTTGGTGACTATTTAGAAGAATCTAGAATTTGGGACTGTTCCTTTTATTGTCAATGTTTGGATGGTTGAAAAAGAGAATTATATGGCATTCTTAGGGCATTTTTGACTTTTCAAATGTTACTAAACGGCAATTTGGGTACTAAATTATCACATTTTAAAGTTTAGAGACTATTGCGAGGATTATTTAATTGTTATGTTATAGTTGTTGTTAGTGGGTTTTCAGCTTAAGACGATGTCAGTCATTTAACTTCTTTCTTTCTTATTAGTTTGTTTATAGGGAGTGCCACCAGGGGCATACTTGTAATCTCCCATTCCTTTTATATTAAGTTAATATAAATAACTAAACTGGCGGCAACCAGAAGTAGTTGCTTTTTTTTGTCTCTCAATCATATCTTCCTCTTCTTCTCTTTCTCTCTCTCGTCTATCTCTCTCCATGAATGATTACAGAGATCAAATGGTCACTCTAACCAAAGACCCCCCTTTTAATTGTCGATTTTCTTAGATATTTTAGGGTAAATTACGAAGACCCCCCTATATTATGGGGTCTATGACAAAGACCCCCCTTTTAGCATCCGATTTTTGCTTGGTCCCCTCTCTAACCCACTCCTTATTCTTCAAATGCCTAATTAGACCCTACAATTCTCTCTAGAACATGTCAAAACCATAAAAGACCAAATTTTGACTCAAGCACCCTCAAATCCACTGTTAAAACTACACTATCCCCCTATGATTGCCACGATTGCGCTCTGATGAGGGCGGATTTGGCCCTCAAATGACATTGTGACACATGGCATCTCGGAACAAATAGGTGACATCCGGAACCACTTAGGCAACAACTTGCCTTAGCCAAGATGATGGTGTCCCAGTTGGCGACCTGCGAGACGTGCTCGCCAACAAATTCGGCATGCATATCCCAACACTCCCACGATCCTTGGAAGTTGGTCCACGTACCGAACGATCCAGAGGGTGGTCAACGTGCATGGCAGTTGCCTCCGGAAATCTCGGACCACTTAGGCGACATCTCAGAAATCTCGAATACGGTGCGTGAAGCCCACGCCAGACAATGCATATATAAAGGCACCAACCCCAATGGCATGGAGGGGGGGAAAGTAAGCATATTCTAGCTCTCATACTTTGTGATTTTTAGCTCGCAGTTTACTATGAGAGTACTGACTTAAGCATCGGAGCGACCTCACCAGGTTAGCCACCCCGGGTCCTCTGACATTGA